CAACTTTATATAGAGCACAAAATAAAAAAATTTGTTTATATGGCCTTCTAATTCTCTGAGTTCTCCACTTCTGTTAAACAAACAAAAAAATTCTCTCCACTTTCCTTTGTTAAAGGGGAAAAAAAAAACCTTAGGGTTCGAATTCTCTCCTCGGTACTCGCCATGTCCGGTGAAGAAGAAGAGAACGCCGCCGAACTCAAGATCGGAGATGGTACTTTCTCTATTCCCATTCTCCATATCCGTCGCTATTATAACATCAAAATTAGGGTTTTTTTCTTTTTTCTTTTCGTCGAATTGATCTTAGTGCTATACGATTTATAAGATTCGAGACGAATTTCTCTCTGGAATTCTCATCGAGCTTATCTTTACTGGATTTCGCACTGAAATTTCTGGGTTTTTGTTCTTTTTGTACGATTTAGAGTTTTTGAAGGCAAAGTGCTTGATGAACTGTGAAGTCTCTTTGATCCTTGAACACAAGTTTGAACAGCTTCAACAAGTTTCCGAGGATCCTATGAATCAAGTTTCTCAGTAAGTATTAGTTTTTATACATGTTAAATGTAAATATGTAATTAAGAATTGAAGATTGTACTCAGTTTCTTACATTAGTCTACACTGATTCATATTACTTCGAGATTGATGAAGCTCACTATTGGACTAATCATGGTTATGCTTGATTTCATTAGTTAGTAGGGAAAAACTCGATATTTTCTTGGTGAATTTTGTTGAACAACTTATGTATTCTCCTTTACAGAGTGTTTGAGAAGTCCCTGCAATATGTCAAACGATTCAGCCGCTACAAAAATCCAGACGCTGTTCGACAAGTTCGAGAGTATCCTCTTGCAGAATTAGTTGATTAGTAGACTAGTTTTAACAAATGGTTGCATTGACTTGCTTGCATCTTTATCCGAAAGTCCTAACATTATGCGATTCTGGATTGTGTTACCGCAAGTTGCATTGATTCTGCTTTTCGTACCACTGAACTATGAATGAGAGTTTATAGTCGCTGGTTTGGTTCTTTAGTTTTGTGAGGATATGTGATTTGATCTTCATGTGACATGTTTTACCTTAACTCAAGTTTCACAGAATACTGAGCAGACATCAACTCACTGAGTTTGAGGTAAGATGTTGTTAAATCTTTTGAGATTGGATTTTTGTCATCAACTAAGTCTATTTGACAAAAGACTAAACCATTGCATTGGTTTTTTATTGAACAGCTCTGTGTTCTTGGCAATCTCTGTCCTGAAACTGTTGAAGAAGCAGTGGCAATGATTCCTTCTGTTAAGGTAAAAACTTCCTCTTCTTTTTTTTTCTATACAAAAAAGTAGAAATAGTCTTTGTTATGTATGTCAGTGGTTTTTTGAGGTGATGTAAACTTCTCTTTTGTGTATAGACAAAAGGAAGAGCTCATAATGATGCCGCAATTCAGAAGATGCTCGATGATCTTTCCCTCGTCAAGAGATTTGAGTAGTGCAAACAAAATTCTCAAGATCTAAAGATTAAGAACATGTTTCAGGGTGCTATATTCTCCTTCTAGCTGGTGCATGATCAAAATATCTCTGGAGTTGATTTTTCCCTGTCTGAGATTATATAAAGCTTTCATTGCCAGAATCTCTGAAACGATAATAATACCTTCATGTTAAATTAATGTAATTTACAATGGATGGTCCATGTTTTCAATGGTCATGTTAAACTTATTTATAGTAGTGGTAGATTTATAATATGTGGTATACTTATTTGTAGTAGTGGTAGAGTTAATTTTGTGATCGGTAGACTTATTTCTAGTGGTGGTAGAGTTAATTTGGTGATCGGTAGACTTATTGATGGTTCGCGCAATCGTATACTTATTTACAGTAGTGGTAGATTTATTTTTGAGTGATAGACTTATTAGTAGTTGTGGTAGAGATATTTTGTGATCGGTAGACTTATTGATGTTTTGCGCAATCGTAGACTTATTTATACTAGTGGTAAAGTTATAATATGTGGTAGATTTATTTATTGTAGCGGTAGATTTATTCAATCTTTTCACGTCTTTACTAAACAACCTTTAATTGGTAGATTTATATATAGTAGTTGTAGACTTATTTATAGTAGTGTTAGATTTACTTATAGTAGTGCTAGATTTATAATATGTGGTAGATATATTTATACTCGTGGTAGTGATAAATTTATAATATGTAAATTTATTTGTAGTAGTGGTAGATTTATAAATATGTAGTAGACTTATTTATAGTAGGGGTAGAGTTATTCAATAAAGAGTAAAATCGTAATTTACCGGTCGTCTTCTCCACACAACAAGCTTCTGTCAAACTCTAACAATGGCGACCAACTATTTTTTAGCTCGTTTTTACTGTATTTTAACTTTTTTTCAACTAGATTTAACCTAAAACTAGTATATCTAACATCACATATCTCTTTTCTAACCAAAAATCAAAAGATTTCAATTTTTTTTTTTTTTGTGATTTTCAATCCGACTTTATCTAAATTCGACGGCACACCTCCACCAAATGCGTTTCCGGTGTTTCCGCAGTTTAAACAAATTTCTAAATTTTTTTTAAAATAATTAGAATAGCATTTACGTAATAAAACTTTTTATATGTCTTTTATGACCTTTATTAAGTTTCAACTTTGTGTAAAAGTTGTTTTAATAATTATGCCATTTTTCAAAGTTGTTCTAGTAATTTTTCCAAAAAAATATGAAAAAATTAATGTTAAATAAATCAGCTTTATATGAATGAATTGTCTCAATATAAATCGAGTAAATTGATAAACACTATATACACCTAAAAGCTTATGTGTTTGGAAGCTTTACTTCCATCTCTTGGCATTTTTTATGGATTTTGACTTTTGTTTGGAAGCTTGAAACGCTTTCATCTTTTGCTTCTTCCTTGCTTCTCTCTCTGCTTTTGACATCTTCGATTTTGCTTTCATTTTTGGAGCTTTTTCCTCTAATTCTGCTTCTCTCTCAAGCTCCTTGGCTCTAGCTTCCATATTCTTCTCCAGGTAATACTGAAGAAACATTTGTTTTCAAGTTGCACAATTTTGAATGTAACAATTTTGGAAAAAGAGGAAAAAACTAAGAAGAGGTTTTGTTACATTGTAGTCTCCTGCATAGTCTTTTAAACCACCGTCTCTGACTTCGATAACTCTATTTACGATTTGTTTGATGAAGTATCGATCGTGTGAGACTGCGATGACCGTGCCTTTGTACTCATTTATTGCCTCCTGATGAAAGACGTAAATTAAAGAATCAGAACTTACTCAGCCTTTCAACTATAGTTTGGCCAAACAGTAAGAGAAGAATATGACTTAGAAACCTCGAGCATTTCTTTTGAAGGTATGTCTAAGTGATTGGTGGGTTCGTCCAACACGAGTAGCGTGGATGGTTTCACCATGAACTTGCAGAAAGCAAGGCGAGCCTAAAGGCCGCATGAAAAATGGGAATGAAAACCACCGAAGAGACGATATATACAAGTATTATTGGGAATGGAATAAGCATTACATCAATACCTTCTCACCGCCACTCAAAAGAGCCACCTTTCTATCGAACATATCAGCTTTGAAGTTGCAGCGACCAAGAAGACCTTTTATATCATCAATTCTCCAATCTACAGCAGCTTCAACAACCGTCTCAATCACAGTTTTATCCAAATCTAGAGCCTCTGCCTAAAGCCAACAAATGAGTAAAAACCGTAACATGATTCCTCTAACAATCCCTTTGATCACAACAAAACAAACCTGATTCTGCTCGAAGTAGTTTGGCAATACATTGTGCTCTCCAAGAACAATTTCACCTCTCATAGGCTTCTCCAAACCCATGATCAGTTTCAATAATGTACTTTTACCGCACCCGTTTGGACCAATAATCGCGATTTTCTCTCCTCTTTCTACCGCTAGATTTGCCTTGTTAAATAACATCTGCTTGCATTATACACAAATCAAAAGGCCACACACAAGTAATAAAGGGAATATCCAACAATATTTTTCTAATTCTATCATATTCTCACCTTATCCTCAAAGCCAAATCCAAGATTCTTAACAGTGACTACAGATCTTCCGCTTAATCCACATTCTGGAAACCGAATTTTCATTTGTTTCCTCTGATATGGCTTCTCGATTTGCTCTTCTTCTTGGAGCCTCACCAGTTTCTGTTTATAAACATAATCAACAGAAGTAAGTTCCATACATTCTCTGCTTCATAAGTACTAAATCTTGCTGCTAGTTTCTTACCTTTTCCGCTGAAGAAGCTCGGCCCGAATTTGCTCCAGCACTAACCCTACTGATCAAATCCTTTGTTGCTTCAATCTCTTTCTGTTGCTTCTCCCAAGCAGCATACTGAGCTTCGACCCACTCTGCCTTTGAAATCACATACTGAGAATAATTACCCTCGAAAGTCCTCGACACGCCCATTTCGGTTTCCACGATTTTAGTACATAACTGATCAAGAAACGCTCTGTCATGTGATATTATAACCATAGGAACATCTTGCTTACTCAAGTAACTTTCAAGCCACTCAATAGTACAAAGATCCAAATGATTGGTTGGCTCATCCAAAAGCAATAAATCTGGATTCTGTTACACATAATCAATCACACACATAAGCTAAACTTCAAAGGAAGAACATTTCTCAAAGAATCAATTCATATATATATACCTGAAGCAAAATCTTCCCAAGTGACATTCTCATTTGCCAACCACTACTAAAAGAAGCCACAAGCCTATCTGCATCTTCCGACACAAACCCTAATTCCGACATCAACTTACTAATCTTAGCATCGACAGTATCTAAACCAACTTCTTGAGCTTGTCTCTGCAACGAATCGAATTCGTCGAGTAACCTTCCCATTAATTCTAAATCATCAACAGTTTCTTCAATCGCGTTCTGTAACTTCTCAAGCTTCCTTGTAATCTCCATCTCTTCTTTAAACGCACTCATGAACTCTTCTTTCACTGTCTTCCCCATCGAAACCTCGAATTCTTGACTCAAAAAGGAAACTTTCAAATTGGGTTTTGCCCTAATCACGTTACCTGAATCTGGTTCCTCTTGACCTGTGATTATCTTGAGCTGTGTGGTTTTACCAGCACCGTTAACGCCGATTAAACCTACTTTTTCTCCTTTCTTCACTTCCCAATTCACATCTTTGAGCACCGTAACGCCTTCGTAGCTTTTGCTTACGTTTTCGAGTCTCACTCCTGAAGAAATCGTAGATGCACCGTTGTTTGATTGCTTACTGGTCCGTTTATGATCTTCGGTCGTGAAGAGCGATTCGAGGTCTGAGTTGGAGCTGATTGCGGAGACTTGTGCTCTGATATGTAGTCTAGGGTTAGAAACAGAGGAGAAAGGTTTGAGTGTGAATGGTTTAGGGCAAGGAAGAGGAGGATTAGTGAAGAAGGTGGAACGAAGGTTTAGGCTATGGAGATTCGTCGTTAAACCCATTTTTTCGGGTAATCGGTAATCATCAAATGAATAAACGAACGATTTTGATTGTTGAAAATGTGGTTTTTGAGAATAAAAACTGAACGACTCTCGAGGCTTCGATCGCGTGAGGGAGGAGTCTCACGAACGCACACGTATGTGCGTGAACTCAAGGCTCATAAACTGCCACGTGTTAATTACTGTCTAGAATACCACGTCATCAGTTGTCAAAATCAGCCCTCCCACTTTATTTTCAACGGTTAGATTCATTTTGATAAATTCTCTTAAAATTTTACATTTTTTTCTAGACCAAAGAAAAATAAAATAAATACAATTCTAGTTGAAGAATATCCTTATTATACACAGGCTAGAATTAATAATATTCGCTCCAATTTAAAAAGCCGTAAATTCTTCTATATATTAAAAGAAAAACATTTTAGAACAAAATTGCTTAGGTGTCAAACCCACAATTTTTTTCATCTTTTATTTATTTAAAATTTCTTTTTATTTATAATTCTATATTCTATTTGCCAAACACTATTTCATTTGCTATATCTATTTTGGTTACTTTTAATTCAATTGCCAAACACATTACAAACTTTAATAAATAGCTAATTTTTTAACTCATTAAAAATTCTGAAAATATATGCTTACCTTCAAAACTAGAACATTTTCATTTCACACTATTTTATAAACATTACAAATTGAAAACTCTAGAAAAATTTGAACCTTATCGTATATTATTGAATTTTTTCATTTTTCGATCACAAATATAATTTCTTACGTATTCAATATTGTTTTTCTTATATGTTTCAAATTTAATCTTCTAATATTTTTCCATTTTTCTTGAAAAAATTAAGTTTTTAATGTTTTAATCTTAACCATAATTTTTTCAAAGAAAAAAAATGTATTTGAAATGATACTAAATTTTATATATTCTAAATATTCACCAAATATGGTTTTGTTAACAAAAAAGTTGCCAAAACTCATCATAAAACTATGCTTAGAAATATGAAACTAAAAACTGAGTTGC